AAAGTACATGTGAAATTCTGAAAGGAACATAAATTCGAGCCAATTTTGTTTTCAAAACTTATCATTTTACTAGGATTCTCGTTTGGAAGGATTCGCCAAAGCGATATTGAGTTTCGATGGGGATTCTCTGAATATTGCAACTGGAAACACAAAGCCGCTTGAGCAACGAGGCGTCCAGATCAGTGGGAAATTGTCTTCTTTTTTCTCATCGATGGCCCACATGTTTCCCGACGTTGTTGCGAAGACTGAATGGGCGAAACCGGAAAAGTTGACTGCGAAAATTGCCGGCGTTGCTCCAAGATCCTTGAAAAGGGCTGTGAAGTCAGCTGGGAGCACTCCACAGCGACGTCGCCGAAACGTTAAAACTCGTCAAGAACAGTACGAGACAGCTCTGCAAAACTTCGACCTCGGCGAAAGAAATTATATCACTGAACTGATGACCAAGGCCTTCGACGAAGAAACCTACGTCAACATCGATTATATAGCTGATAAACTTCGCGAAGAAAAGCCAGGGATTTTTTTTTGGAAAACAACTCTTTTCAGAGTTTTACGTGCGATGGGTTACTCCTATAAAAAAAGGAATTCAATCCTCAAATTTTTGAACGGCCCGATCTTCGACACTGGCGAAGGAACTATTTGAAAGGAATGCGTGAGAGGCGAGAGAAGAATCATTACTTGATTTATTTGGACGAGACGTGGGGCTTCGACGCGATGGTTCACGAGAGAGGATGGTGCGGAAAAGCTGAAAAATGGGACAAAGCTCTTAACAGCAAGGCTGCGGCTCCTGGACCTCCAGCTGGCAAGAACAAAGGAAGGCGTTGTATAATTCTCGCGATGTTGACCGAAGACGGGATTCTTCCGGGTTCAGAAAGAGCGTTTTTAAGTGGACACAAAGACGCTCTGGCGGATTACCATAAAGAAATGACGGCTGGTTTTCGAGACCTACCTTGAAGATATGTTCGAAGAGATACACAAAGCGGCCAAAGGAAGGACGCCAGTTCTTGTTATGGACAATGCTTCATATCATAGCAGAGTCTCGGTGAAGGTAACAAATTGCAAAACTTCAAATCTGAATCAAAAATTTTAGCCACCAACAAGAACTTTGACCAAAGCACAGATGGAAGCTTTCATCGATGACAACTACATCCCTGTGCCACTCCCTGTCTCCGCCCGACTTACAAAGGCCATTCTTCGGAGCTTGATTGAAAATTTTGTCGAGAAGGAAGGTGTTGAAAACTACGCAAGAGTTGAAGTGGACGCCATGTGCGCGGAAAACGACATCGAGATCCTGCGTCTGCCGCCTTACCACTGTTACTTCAACCCTACTGAAATGACGTGGTCCCAGTTGAAACATCACCTTCGCAC